TGTTTTGATAGCTGATTCATGCTGTCCAACTGCCTTTCTACTCCCTTACATATAGACTGAGGGGAGGTCATGGGTCGTTTGCGGCTTGTACTGTCCGATGCAGACAGTGCGATGCAGTTCGTTAACGTGCTCTCTGCGCATGTAGTCGCTCTTATCTTCCCAAGCAGGTATTTCGACCAGATAGTGTATCGTGAGTATAGCAGCACACTGGCTCTGGCTGTGCGAGCCGGGATCCGTGCTGCTGCCCTTATCCTCTTGGGTAAAATTCTGGCCAAGCTTGTTATGGGCCTGCGAGCGTGGTGCCGCGTCTAGGTGTGGATTTCCTCGTGTCAGCCACCTGAAGCTCATATAGCCTCTAGTCTTCTTAACTCGTTTTACATCGGGCATGGGTGGGTGCGGAAATGCGATTGCAGTAAGTCTTCTACCACTTGGAAATAATTTATATATAAGTCGCAGCGCTTATTTTCAGTCTGCCGTAAAAATGCGGTAGCCGTAGTCAAACTCGACTGTCGAACTAAAATCTACCCAGTAACTTTCATTGGACAGCTGTAGGCCAGCCATGCGAGAGCCACTAACTAATAGACATTGAAAACAGAAAAACCGTCTTCCTGACGAGTGATCTAGACGACACAGTTTTGCTGGCTGTTCAAACAAGTCAGGCGGCGGGAACCAGGAAAAGTCAGCGGCAGAAGAAGGTGTTCTGTCAGATGGGGTCACACCGTTGGCGTTCGGGTCTCATGACGTACGCCGAGTGCGTCTCCCAGCTACTGGAATAAATCATGTCCTCCCCAGCTCGACCAGCTCTCGTCCACCTTGTCTTGATTACATATTCACGCCTACTTAATTAAATAAGTAGGCATATTATTTAGCTATTGAATATCATTCAGGGCTGTAATTTTCACGTCGAACGACCGCGAGTCTGCGAGTTCCGTTTCTGTGTGCTACATGGTGGTAGTGTTTCCTGTCTGTTTGGATCGCAGGACAGAATATGGATGACCTCGCGTCATTTTAAAGCCATGACTTACAGTCTACACATGCAGGCGCATAGCGACAC